ATATATATATATATATATATATATATATATATATATATATTAAGGGTGTCACGATCCTCTAAATCCTCGATTCGATTACATTTTCGATTTTAAAGGCACGATTCAATTCGATTTTCGGTTATGAATAATTAATTAATTAATGACCAATTAATAATTTGTAGCCTACTGTTTAAACTACCTGACCTGCATGGTCTTTGTTTTACCCATAAACAAATCATACAGTAAATGAATAAAGGCAAGATACACACATAATCACCACCTGTCAATCACTTTTTCTGCGGGACTCGTGAATTGGCAGTGATCTGTGTCGTTATAATGGCGTCGGTAAAAAAGACGCACAACCAACAGGAACCAGCCAACAGTATCTGAGGTGTTCGCTAAAATGACTAAGTACAAGTGAGTGAAAGATTGAAGCAGTCCTCTGACTGCCTGGACCTGCTGTCTCGAGCACATATGGCTGTGAGTGCGTCTGTGTCTGTGTGTCACGTGATGTGCATTTTCAGAGGTAGAGAGGAAGGAGGGCTGCTCAGAAATGCTACACGCCACTGTGGATGTCAAATCGTTGTCGTTCTAAAATGCCATTTAACAACAAAGACAGTGTAAACAGGGCCTGAGTGTGTACTTTTCGCGAGCGGATTTGCAACGGGTGCGGGCGGAGGATCGCGATGCCGGTGTTGTCTATCGGACGAACCGTACGTAATACGTACATAGCAGAGCTTGCAAAACTGTGTTTTTTTGTCGACAACACGAACGTTGTCAACATAACTCACTGGAAATCCAAAATGCTTCCACACCGGCGACTTTATTGAAAGAGGAGAGGGTTTAAGCTCTGTCGACGGGTCTCCTGCTTCTGCAGTTTAACAGGCACTTCAACAAGCCTGTTTTTTTCCCGCTTGGCAAGCCAAGCTGACGTGACATGGGGGCGTGGCAGCATCGACGATTCTATTTTTTGATTCGATAATCGAAATTGAGCATAAATTTCGGTTGATTTCGATTAAAAATCTAAATTGTGACACCCCTAGTGTATATATGTATATATATATATATTTATATTTATATATATATATATATATATATATATATATCGGTCTTATATTGCCTGGGTATATTGTGAAAATAAAACAAATACATTGGTTTTATGGCAAAAACGTAGTTTATGATTAGTAATTTGCATTGCTAAGAAGTTTATTTACATTGCGTTTCCAAGGAAACTGCTAATGTGTTTTGTGTAACGTTCAAAAGACGGTTGCAGCACGTTGAAACAATATCCGTGCTGTCTGGCCCGGTTTGGCATTGAATGGAACGGTTCAGCAAGACAGTGGAAAAGCAGCTTAAGGTTAACACCCCAGGTGAATATTATATTAAAGAAAATGAAAGGCTTATGGCTTTTTCTTTGCACGCTGTCGTTTTTTATGCAACATTTAAGTACTATTTTTATCTACCATAGGTAATGATAACATATGGCAATTCTAATGGTTCATTAAAATTTATTTGACTTTAGGAAACTACCAAGCGACCGCGCTGAGAATAAAAACCAACCTGTTTGTTCCTCAGGATCTTCTTGCTTGACTGTGAATGTTTCTGCAATCTTCACATCTTCACTCTCCTCTTTAATAAACGCCATCTTTATAACAACGTCACGTGTTTCTGTAAGGAATAAATTACAGATTCCCTTACCAATTAATATCACAGACCTTTTACTCTCAAGAATGAATTAAGTTTAAATTGGGTACAGAAAATATAGAGGTAAAGTTGGTTTTATATTTCGCACATTCGTTGGGTGACAACTAGACTTAGTATTCGGTCTGAAATAACCTGCAAGTATGACTTGAAAACAACATTAGCACTGTTTCTTTGACTGTGAACAATGTTGTACTTTGATAGTCATTGGCTGCTTATATTATTTCGCTATTTAAGTTTGCAAATAACACTTCTCTGAAATAATATTAAGGAGAAAGTCCAAATGTGCGAATATAAAACCAACTTTACCTCAATACAGAAAAATAAAATCCATAATTGTGAAGTCAGTGATAAGGTCCCTGCTGAAAAATCCAGTTTTAACCAGCCTAGTATGGTTGGCTGGTTTTAGCTGGTCGACCAGCCTGGTTTTAGAGGGTTTTTGGCCACGTCCAGGCTGGTTTCCAGCCATTTCCAGCCTGGTCTTAGCTGGTCAGGCTGGAAACTGACCAGCTAAAACCAGCTAGACCATCCTGCTTTAAGCTGGACATAGCTGGT